CCCCAAAACCCCAAAACCCCAAAACCCCAAAACCCCAAAACCCCTTATTTTTCTGATAAAGCTGAATGATAAAAATGAAAGTTTCATAAAAAATGTTGCAACTTTTAATAGAGCTCAAAGCTGTAACTGTAATTCGGGTAACTCTATGTACATCCATGATTATTCTACAAACAAAAGCCTTCAGAAAAGGGTACACTCAAAGGTAAAATTATTCTAGTCTGGTCTATCTCATATCAGATTTATAGAGAAATATAAATTCCAATTAAGGAAACTCTTGAGCCTTCCGAAAATTTTGTAGAAGAAAGTTAGCAATTTTATTGGCTTCTTGGTTAAGAAAAATCATAGATTTACTATGCAAGAGCTTTATTTGTAACTAATATAGATAAATTCAGTTTCAGTTAATTTTCTACTGTGTCTAAACTCCAGCAAGTAAAGTTTAGTTTTAATTGTTTTTTATCTGTTTATCTAAGGGTTGTCTGGAGATCAGTAAGCCATCAGATCTTCAATATTATCATTGACTTAATCAAATGCCAAAAAATTAGCAAACTCAGGATGTTGAAAATAAAATGATTATGCTAGCTAAACCTCGCTTCCATTGCTTTTATATAGAAATCCCAAGAATCATTTTCTCTAAAGTGATTTGAACCTGCAGTTCATATAGCCAGAGTTAATATCATATTATATTCAACTTTGTTACCTAATTCTAAAGAAAGAGGACAGCACACTTTTTGAAGAACAACTCTGGACTGTTAAGGCAACCTTTATTTTAACGTTTATAGATGCCGGTATGTTCTTCTTGTGTGCTCTTCTTATGTTCCCAACTGTGTTGAAGTAAAACTAAGACTATGAGGTTTTCCTAATTCATGAAAAAGTTAGTGCCATTTTTGGACTATTTCCAAAATCAAAAATAGGATATAGCTTAGAAGATACAGATTTAGTGAATTGTTTTATTGAATTAATTACCCTAAAATTCCTAAAAGTAACCTGCTGTTATGTTTGAGTCAACAGCAGATCCAGAACAAATGCTCTCTAATTGCAAATGGTCTGGTGAATAAGGGTTTGATATAGGAATATCAAATCCTCAAACATTCTGGCTAAAGAGATCTTCCTTTTGCCAGAATGAGTCCCTAAAAGTAGTGAAAGGAACTTCTTCTCTCTGATCATTCCCTAAATAGAAGGTTGAGTGAGTCTCATCCTTATGATCTTTTACAGAAGAATCCTTAAATTCTGAGATAGTATTTTTGATTTTCTGATCTAGAAATTTCTCAGAAGAATCTTCAATACTGGCCAATTTCGAAACGGTTTTATCCTCTTTTTGTCTTTTGGAGGCTTTCTTTTTCTCCACTTTTGTTCTCTTTGATGACTTTTTGTTCTTTCTTTTGTAGACTCTTTTATTTGAGGTTAAGTTCTTTAGCCTTGAGCACAATAATCTCATCAACCAATGCATTATAGTCATTTGTATTAACTGGGGAGATATCTCCGAGATCTCTTGAGACATGCTTTCTATCATATCCCCACTTATATACTTTCTTGACTGGTAATCCCAATTTGGCAGCAGCAATTTCTATTTTCAGCAATTAGTACTTTTAACAGTAATTAAAGGTTAATATAATATCTTGCGGAAATTTTTGGCTTACCGACTGTGGCCATCTGCCAATCAGGATCCTTCATGAAGTAGTTCTCTAGAATGCTAATTTGGTAGAACTTGAGGATATGCTTCTTTCTTTTAGAAGAACGACCCTTTTGTATTTTAAAAATTTTTCTGAATTTGTTGAATTTTCCATTTTTGGAAGTCTTTGAGATAAAAGCTTTGTGATGGTTTTCTAGTTTAGTTGAGTCAAAATGAATATTAAGATCAGATACACTCATTTCTTCAGAATCTTGGGAGTGCTCGCTCACTCTCTGTCTTTTATAATTGCTGTTCAGGGTCATAAATATTCTGATGAGTTGGAATATTATTTTGACTTCAATTCTCCAAACTTAAATGGGGTTTTGGGGTTTTGGGGTTTTGGGGTTTTGGGG